ACAGTACATCTGGGACTGGAGAAGGGGAGGCTCTCCAGAATGCAACATGAGCAGGCTCTGCATAAACAAACCCAAACCATATCTCTGCTGTCACAACTGCAGTCAACATAGAACCACAAAATAACACACATGCTATTTGCAGTCCTCCTTATTTACCAACATGTGTGTCTTCACAGGAAGGATCAGCAACAGCAAGCTCCATAGTAATTGTGGCGAATATCAGCATGCATACCGACCTGCTGATCTTTTCCCGAAGCTAATCATTTATCTGTTACACAACCTTACAATATCATCTTTTTCTTTTTATTTGTCTTATATTATATCGTCATATGCTCACACGAGTTCTTACAGAATTAGGACTGGTTATAAAAGATTGTTAATCTCACATGTGTTTTCAGAAAATAGGTACTCAGATGTAAAACAAAACTTGATAAAGCAGTTTACAGGACATATGGATCTGATCATGAAACAGGAGGTTAACAATATTTTCACATGAACTGTAAAAGACTGACCTAAATATTTCCAGAGCACCATATGATTGATCTTGAATATGATATGATGGTATAGTCTTCCGGTATAGTCTTAAAAAATACAAAACAAAAACATGTCTTGCAGTTTGAGATTTTTTTTGTCAAAGAAAATCGCTTCTGAAGGTGTTTTGCTGTTGAAGTGCTTGGTACAGAACAAAAATCGAATTGTTCAAAAAAAGTGAACTGCAAATTATAGCAAAACTTATGTATGTCTGATATGGAGGATCATTTCCAATTTAATTCAAGGGACATTAGGTTGTGTATGAAGAAAGCTTGAAATAAGCAGGAAATACTATAAAATGCACCTGCCCCAGGCAGCAGAGTCCTGAGATCCTTGAGACTCGGATCTGACTTTAAAGATGTGGAAAATAGATTGCTCCTTTCACTCAAATGGTGCATTGATCTAAGAGCCTGATAAAACCTTTTAACAGCACAGGGGGCTGAGAGGTTTCACTTAAAGCTGTCTCTAAGAGAGTGTGATATATGATTCATGTGTGAATTAGGTGTTTGCTTTGGCCTAGGTCTCTTGAATGCAGTATTTGAAAGGACTTAGGAGGCGGTACCTCCATTGATCTTATAAGAAGCCTATAAATTCCACATGTACGGTTATTTGTACATACCTCCTTTTTGTGTGCTTGTCCATTAGACTGCAAATAATGAAGCAGCTATATGATACTGTAACATCCTGTGAAACAAAGCTGATAAATATGCATAAAGGTGGAATCAGAATCCCACATAACACAAGTTTAGGAATAAGTGAATGGAATCTAAACTGTACCTTCACCTTGTGATTTTTTTTGCAGATTTGATCAGATTGTAGACAAAAGATAACCCTGTCCATTCTAATGCTTCAGTAGGTTCAGTTAGGTTGTTTTCTGCTCTTAAACCACTTAAGATGTTTGTCTTAAGAGTTATATAGGTGCAAGAGAAAGAAAAATAAAAGCCACAGACGATTTAGCAATTAAGGTATTGTGTATAGGTTTTATAATTCAATGTCAAACTAAAATTCTGAGGTCACCCTGTAGTGATTTTCAGTGTTTATATACTGTGACTGTTCAGTTTATGAATAAATTGCAGTCTCAAGTGCAATAAGTCTGTTTTATGTACATCAAAGAATGTTTTCCGTGGGAATTCTCTTTGTGGAATTTAGATGCGTGTTTCTGCTATTTTTGTTTAGTTTGAGATTTCATTCATGTAAATTTCATTTTGTCTGAGATCTTTAACACTGTTAGGTATAAAAAACACAAGAGTTGAGTGTGCTATCAAATTTCTACTAAACAAGAAGATAAAAAATAGATTGATTTATGTCTCAGGCATTAAAAAGTGGACTGACCCTAATGCTGGGACACTGACAGCACATTAACATTCAAACACCTTAGTAAATCAAAAGAGGTTAAATACTGAGGGGTTCATTTCTTCATAGTACACATGATATATTAAAACATGAGACAAACTGGAGGAGTCTGTTGCTGTGTCCTTATCTCCTGATAGCCACAAGCCAATGCGTGAAAAGCACAACTGGCTTTTCCAATTTGGGAATGTAGAACAAAAACAATTGGCAATTCTAAATTAAAAAAAAGGAAAGAAAAAAAACAAAGGGGGGCAGACACTGTCCCGTGGACTGTGGCCAGGGAATTGTGTGAGTGTTAAAAATTGTATTAAAAAGCAAGCTTTTAAATATAGGTTTTGTATAGTATATAAATAAAAGGCTATACATTTGTAATCATTAGCTCATGACATCCTCTTAGATTCTGTAATTTAACAGTGATTTTATGGTGAACTTCTAGCAATGTGTACTTACATCTGGTGAAGACTGATCATTTATAGTTTTGTTAACTGGAAAACTTCTACATTTTGACTAATCCTTTATTTAACAATTTTATTCACCTAGCTGATTGTTGATTGAGAACAAATTCTCCTTTACTATAATGACTTGGGAAGTTATCTTTTTAACAGCAGGTCAGATCATTTGATCAAAGCGACCCATGTGAGGTGCCTTTCTCAAGAATCCAACAGCAAAGCTCCACTCAGGATTTGAGCCAACAACCTTCCAAGTAAAAGGCCAGAGCCCAAACCACTTCACTTCCCTGTTCCTCCATGAGCACCAAACACATGTGATGTGCACTTAATTTTTACAACTTTATAGTTCAAGTTCAAAACTTTATTATTAAAACAGCTGGTTACACAGAATATGTTTCAGTGAGCTCAATAACAGACATATAATACAGATATAAAATGTAAAGTAAATAACAGAATGCACCCACCCAACAGCAGTAGTACTTGTTCTAATAGCCAGCAGCCATAACACTCTGCAACTCACAACTGGCAACCCACTGAAGCTAAGCAGGTGTAAGCCTGGTCAGTACCTGGATGGGAGACCTTCTGGGAGAAATTAAGGTTGCTGCTGGAAGAGGTGTTAGTGGGACCAGCAGGGGGGGCTCACCCTGCAGTCCATGATGGGAACACTATACTGTAAACAGGTGCCGTCCTTCGGATGAGATGTAAAACCGAGGTCCTGACTCTCTGTGGTCATTAAAAATCCCAGGGCGTTTCTCGAAAAGAGTAGGGGTGTAACCAGGCCAAATTTCCCATTGGCCCTTACCAATAATGGCCTCCTAATAATCCCCATCTATGAATTGGCTTCATCACTCTGTTCTCCTCCCCACTGATAGCTGATGTGTGGTGAGCGTTCTGGCGCACTATGGCTGCCGTCGCATCATCCGGATGGGTGCTGCACATTGGTGTTGGTGGAGTGGAGTCCCCATTACCCGTAAAGCGCTTTGAGTGGAGTGCCCAGAAAAGCATTATATAAGTATAAGAAATTATTATTATTATTATTATTAATAGACCTAAGCTACCAACCAGAAGGGAGAGATTCAAGATGGCGTCGACCAGGGTGACTTGGTGTTTGCTCTGTGTTTGTAAGAATCTCAAACTGCAGTACATTTAATCTAAATGTGTTCTACATGTCCTTGTCTCTTTTATAAAAATCATAATTTTGTTTAGAATGTTTAGAAGATGTAATAGTACTGTATGTTCATCACTGCTTTGTATCAGACACCAACCTTGGGCGCCAGGCCTATTTTCAGCCGTAGATGTAAAATGAAAGCTATTTTGCACAAGAATATGAGGAATCCCAGGCATGTCCTTTCCTGTTATTTTTATTTTGTTAAATCCTACCATTCTTTCTGACCTTTATTATAATCCACAGGACCCCTCATACACAAATCCCTCATTGTCCTCGGCTCTTCCTCTGCCCCCACGCTATCAGGATGTTTTCAGTCCTGCTGGGCTCAGGCTTTCTCAGCTGGTGAATGCACTGACCCTTCCTTGTGCTCAGTGAGGAAATCTTTACTTTGGCTTGAACTGAGCAGTCCAGTCAGCTGACGAAGGACAAACAGCAGCCAAGGCTGAGGAGACAGGAGATTGTAACTGGCACACCAGCTGCAAAAATTAACAGATTTTATTCTCTGCAGAATTTATGTGTGGATGGTTTTCTCCTGTCTGCAAGTAGGTTTTACTGCACATTAATCAGACCTTTTTAGTTTCTTTCTTTTTGCCCTGATTCCAGAGGACTCAGGGTACTTGTTGAGTGAGAAGGTGTATAAAACAGCACGTTTCACGGACATTAATGTGACTAAAAATTTTGTGCAAACTCAAAATTTTCTCAAAGTTTGTTTCAATTATAGAGTTGCAGCTGTTGATTTCACTGACCCAGCTATACTTGTCAAATGGATGTGTCACTTTGGGTATCAGAACTTGTAGTTCTATCGCTTAGAAAGAGAGGTCTTTTGTATTGCTTAGAACATCCAACCACCAAATGTACAGTACATGTAATGTATATACAGATTATGTCTTATAATCAAATTGTAGTTTTAATTTTGAACAGTCTAATGTATATTTGGAAAGTTATTAATTAAATACATGACAGTGCTACTTATATAGAGTGATGAGTATTTCCTAGATATAGATTTCTAATTTTGCAATCAAAATAGTGGGAATTAAAATGAATAGTTTGTCCTTGAATTATCCTTTTTGTACTGGATTGATGTATATTGTTCTATTTTTAGGATAACAGTATGTAAATGACATTCAGAATTGTTGTTTTTTAATGTTTAATTAATGGATTTGTAGCATTTGTAACAGAAAAAAAAGAAGATTCTCTTGAAGCTACTTTCTGCGCTTTCTCCCTTGTGTAGCCTGTACAGTACCAAAGAGACTTAGCGATGTTACTTAGTAACAGGTCTTAAATACTTCTAATTGCACTTACAGATGTGATGAATAGATAAGCATTCTGCCTCATGCAAAAATATTTCTTAATGTAAGTAAACATCTATTATTTGGCCTAAGACTGGATACAAGTATGGAAAAGGTTATTTTGCAGTTAGGAAATAAGGTTCTTAAACCCAGGCATACACTGAGGTGACAACATGTTTCAAATGTATTGAATATGTTGTCGTTGCTTTTTAGGTATCACTGAGTTGTTGTTTCCACAACAGTGCTGGCAGCCTGCTTGGAAGAAAAGGTACTGGAGGTAGGCCTGCATTTCTAAATAACACTATTTCAGTTGTAGTCAAGGGATCCATAATTGGGGGTTCTCTAATTGCTGAAAAGCAGGTGCCAAATCTAAATAAACATAGTATCTGATGTAAGCTATTCTAAACTGGAATGATCTGAGAGAGGAGCAGAGATTTGGAAAACTCAAAATATCAACCTGATCTTTCTTGGTGTTTTGTACATAATTCAAAGAACTACGTTTTTGACTTAATACAAGAATCAGTGACTGCCGTAACATGACATTCACTTTTCAGCGTTAACAAATGAATGGAACTAAAAGCACCAGGAATGGAATAGTTAGGGGAGAAATCTGATGTGAAAAAAAGTCAAACAGCAGTTCTGCCCTGTTGCACTTTGAACTTTTATTGCATTATTTGGTAATCATGTGCACCAAATCATCTCCATAATACCCTTTTCCTTCAATACAAAAAAGAGAGATTCACAAGAGCTGTGGCACCTGAGAACCTATTTCAATGTCAGTTTTGGGCTGGAAAAAACTACAACATCTTATAAATCAATATGCAGTAAACCCACATTAATACATTTGATATTGGACCTTTTTTCCTTGGTATTCTACTGTTTAGCTACCTTAAGGTATGTGTAGGTAGGGTTATGTGTATTTTAATTTGTGGAATTAATGTGTAAATAAGAAGAATTTATTTTTTGACATTGTACATTTATTTTGCGGGGCTCAGAAAACAGTAAAATGTGCTCTACCTGTTGGTAATCTAGTTAAAATCTAGCTAAGTGTACACCTTGCATGTAATCATGTGTTCTGAAGTATCATAGTAGACTGCAACACATTTGAGAAGGTGTAAACTTGTAGTTTAAGAAAATATCTTTGGGCTAAATTCTGTAAACAAGCAGGTGTGGGTTTCGGATTTTTTTTTGCTCGATTTATGTAGATTCTTGTAATTTCAGTGGGTGTTTTTCTTTTCAAGAGATATCTTTAAATGTCTTTTAATCAGCTGCAGACAGAAAACCCTTTTTTACTAGGTCTGGAACTACTGTACATCCCTTAAACATTTCTTTGTGCATCATTGCTACAGATGTATACTTTTCAAAATGTACACTTTTTGTTATGAACAAATGTAGGCCTTAGTACTATGCAGAGTTGCAGAAAAGATTGCTGCAGACATACTGTAAAAAAGTCAACTTTAATTGTTAGCAATGAACTGATGATGGCTCAGAAAATCCATTATGTAACTTATATTACAGGACAATGTGTCTCTGTATATATAGTTCCTTTTATTAACATGAAAGAGGGATTTTTATTGTATAAGACCACCTGCAAAGACCATTTTAAAGAGGAAACTGTTGAAATAAACAGAGTAATCAACCCTGAAGTACTTAAAATAGTTTTCTAAGTAGGTTTGTTTTCCTGTTGTCATTATGTGTTTTGAATTGTTTCTAGTTAGAATACTGGTATAATAAAAAAAGAAACATACAGTAAGAGTGTGACTAAAGAGTTTGTTTATAGAAAAATGTGTATGTAATGACTACTAATTAAATTTCATATAGAAAAAGCTCCTGGCTTACATGATGATGCAGGACATTAATTTGCTATGTATTTGAAGATAACAAATGTTTGTTGTGTAGGAAATTGAAAGAATCTGGGCTGTTACTTTAAAAAACTGATTTTCTTTTTAATTGTGTCACTCACCTTCATAATTTTGACGTTTTAGCAATTCCAATTCACCATACTTTTAAAGTATTTAAGAAGTGTCACATTTTTCTCCTTTGTGTAGGGAAATAGATATTATCACTAGTCTGTCACTCCTAGGCTCATCCTTAGCAAACCGTATATTTTCCTCTAATTGAAGGGATTTAACTTGTAGATACTGTCTCTGCAGTTATCCTTTTTTACTTTTCAATACTTTAAGGAAAATGGGTTTGCAAAGAATGATGACTTGGAAGACTAGTGGTCATCTCAGTAATAAAATACTTTCGACAGCCCTCTGCCTATGCAATGGATATTCAGATTGACATTTGGTTGACTGTGCTCCCCAGGGTATATTTCAGACAATGCCACATGATAGTAACTGATCTAGTAGCACTAAGTTGAAACTGACAGTTTAAGTATGTCTGCTTTTAGAACACACAAATGTGTAATATTGCTTCATCTTCTAGCCTGCATGTTTAATAATGTAACATGTTAACAAACTCTAAAATCTGTAACAAACTTTGTCCTACACAAGAAAAAGACAGTTATTTGGAAATCGTTTATTTTGCCTTGGCAGTAGTGCCTGCTACCATCTCATTGTGTTCTTTTCTGATCAGTAAAGAGTTTTCTGGCATGATACTGTGGCTGTATTACTGTATCACCACATTGTTCTCATTGCAATAAAAATCCAATAACTATAAATGGCCTTAACAGAAAATACCCACCAAATTGTTAACAATATAGGCTTGCTGGTTGGAAGTTGAATGTTGTTTTATTCCATTTTCATGTGAAAAGGCCAGAGAAGTTAATGTTTTTATCAGCGCTAATTTAATGAATATGCATAGAGTTGTGTCTGCACAGTATTGTACTCAAATATGGTAGCATTTTGTTTTGAAACTGCTGTGGGTACAAGTCAACCTGACTGACATAATTAGGCACAAATAACGGAATTTAGCAAAATGTTCTATTCAGTTTTGTCTGTCCATACTGTTAAACTGCTAAATGATTATATGTTTCCAATTACAGTATGTCACAAGACAGACTTCAGCTCAACAGAGAAAACAACTTTGCTCTTTGTTTCTCTGGCCAAGGAATTAAAGATCAAAGACTTAAAGAATGGTGCAGCTTCTTTGCTTGCAAAATTACCCTACACTTCCCTGCTGTGGGATCATTACAGCAGTTTATGTAAGATTTCAGATTTACATTAGATGCGGTTACAGCCTTTGTCATTACAGTACGTATGTCTATAATTGATAAAGTGAATAGCTGTATTTGCTACTTTTTCATGTATTGATCAATCCTGTAATATTGTCTGTGAGTGTAACCTGCTTGTGAGTGTTAACCACCATTGATTAATTTTTGTAATGAGTATCTGGTGTTTTTTTCAAAGTATTTTTGTATTCTGTCACTGGTTTTGTGGGCTAGTTTATATCACCTCAGTTGTAGAGGCAGTCCCTGTGGTTTATGTGTGAACAGTATTGTCCCAGTTGTTGACCGCTGAATTTGGCTTTTGTGTGGTATTCCTGATACAGGACAGATGTATATTTGTGTCATTTTTATCCATTTATTTTTGCTCAAACAGTTGTGGGAGTATGGAACAAGCTACCTAGCCATGTAATCAAAGTTGATACCATGGTTTCTTTCACGAAATGGTTATTAATAACCAAATGTACTAGAAAGGCTAGGCAACCTTTTCTTGTTTGCAAGAAGTTCTTAAATTTTAAATGATATTTAAATGATATTGAATATTTAGAAAAAGTGTTTTTAAGAAGGTTGCTTGTAACAGAAATGTCTTTATGTATTTTAAATCTGTTCATTTCCATTTTAAAACATAATTTTAAAGGGCATTGTTTGAAATACAGGGAGTGCATTGCCTACTATAGTTAAAAAATGTTTACTCATTGATATTCATGTCAGTATCTGAAACAATAATGTCACTGGACTGTGGTGTTTGTGGACTGACTTATATACTGTACATTACAGTATACTGTACATTTTTATAACAATGTCAACACACAATCAAGACCATCAGCTTTAACCCTCCTCTGAGAGGTTTATCTTTGTGGAAGAAAAATGGCTTCAGGAAAGTCAAGAACTGCTCAGTAAAAAAAGTAACAAAAGTTCTATTCATTGTACAGTACATACATAGCAAGGTTAGGGGTGCTGAAATTAATGTGCTGTCGTACAGAGAATGTAATTGAATTTGCAGCTCAAATCCATAAATTACACTCTTTTGTGGATGGATTTGCACAAGCTCTGGCTCGGACTAGTATTTTATACTTGCATGTCAAGATTTTTAATTTGGAAACAGTTGTTTCCATTATGGGGGGAGAAGGAACTGTAGACCAACAAGATAAGATCACAGCATGTCTGAGGCCATTTTCTCCAGGGAGCGAAGGAACCAACAACACTGCTTAACTGTGATTTGATCATTATGCTCCAAGTTTGGCTAATGGACGGAAGTTTTGGCACAAAGTGTCTGGATTTATAGACACTGTAAGGTAATGGCTAGGAGGAAAACAGACATCCACATTACCAGGGACAAATGTTTATAAAATCCTAAACCACTGCAATGTATTATTTCCTACCCTTCAGGGTTAATACTAGGAAGGCTGCTTAATTTCTGAAAAAAATTTGTGGAAAACAGTGCTGAATGACTTTGTTGTAGAATGTGTTCCGTAACAGCTTTAATTGCCTAAATTGGGTTCATTTCAGCTTCTTTTAATGAAGCATTTGTCAAAAAAATATTTTGTCAGAGAAAATGTATTAATTGGGTGGCATGGTGGTGCAGTGGTTAGCATTGGCGCCTAGTAGTACTGCGGTACTGGGTTCAACTCCTGGAGTGCTGTCTGTGTGGAGTTTGTATGGTCTCCCCATGTTCACATAGGTTTCCTACAGGTGTCCTGGTTTCCACCCACATTACAAGTTTTAAAATGACATACTGTATGTTTCTATGGTAACTGGTGTCCTTCTTGTATGAACCCCGGCGTCCTGGCCAAAATTTCCCATTGGTACTTATCAATCATGGCCTCCTAATAATCCCCATCTATGAATTGGCTTCATTACTCTGCTCTCCTCCCCGCTATTAGCTGATGTGTGGTGAGCTTTCTGGCGCACTATGGCTGCCGTCGCATCATCCAGGTGGATGCTGCACATTTGTGGTGGTTGAGGGGAGACCCCATTACCTGTAAAGGGCTTTGAGTGGAGTGTCCAGAAAAGCGCGATATAAGTGCAAGCAATTATTATTATTATTATTATTATTATTTTATTATTACAATTATTCTTACTGCTCTTTTCATTACAGAGGAGAACAA